AAATACATGATACTATAAATGCAAAATATCATTTGCTGTCTTGAAGCAAATATGCTGTCTTCATCTTGACCGGCAAAGCAATTTGCTACAGCACCGCTACTTAGTTTCTTAAACTGATGCAAACTGGAAGTAAATCTATTAATATCAACAGTGTTATGCCAGCATAAGTAAATCTGGCACTTGTCTTTATTTACTTCTCTATACACTGGTTCACTCTATATACAGGATACAGAAGAACCCTCTTATACGTACGCACTTAAGATTATTAGAAAATGCTTGTGCAACTAAAAGAATATATAAGTGAAATGGACACTTGAATCAAACCTCCTCACTGTTTAAACTACACTTCTGAAAGAGAGACTAAAGTAACTGCATTAAAATGTTTACCACACAGCACGCCCCATCATAATAGTGCAGCTATGAAATAGATAGGAGTGTAGGTGGTTTTTTCAGCCTGTTTGTTGTGAGTAGTGCTCATCTCTTCATTATTGAAATTGACTTGTGGAAAGGATTAGTGGGTGAGTTGACTGATTAGATGGATTATTACTGCTCAAATACCTTGAAAATTCCCAGTACATTGACAGCTGTTTGGAGCATCCTAGCAAAACTAATAATATGATCAACATGAAGGAAATGCAGAAGGAGTAATTGAAAACAAAACAACACAAAACTGAAAAAATGGCACTCTGACAGAATAACACAATGGTTGTGCACTCAGGTGGAAAGGATCATTGACTGTGTGGTACAAAGAGTACAAGGAAGATGGGTATGTTTGTGTGTTGTGGGGAGGGGGAGAGAAAGGGGAACATCTATAGTCTAGTTTTAATTAACCAAATATTCCAGAAAATCTTTGCTACAGTGAACAGGAATATGTGTGTGTGTGTGTGTGTGTGTTAACCTTTACCACGCTTGTAAATCACATTTCCATTTGGATATAGAAAAAAGAGACAGGCTGGTTAGGGTACAGGGGTCCTTTGGATATACTCTTGTTTTTATAATATTCTAATATTATTAAAGCCATAGTCTGTCTGTCTGTCTATAATTCTTTATTCGCACTCTGATTGGCTGATGGAAACAACCAATCAGAGTGCGAATACAGCGTTCAGACAGGAGGTTGCAGTGCGGCGGAGCACTGCGATGATGGTGGGGACACGGGGGGGGGGCTGAGGTCAGCACAGCTGGTCTCGCTCCCCCCGCCCTGCTCCCTGAAGGCGGCAGCTCTGCTGGCCTCGCCCCCACCCCTCGCTTGCTCCTTGGAAGTGGCAGCAGCAGCAGAGGGGCACACCGGGCCTGGCCTGGCCCCAAAACGGAGGGTATGGGGGGGTGCGCCAGGCCACGCAATCGGG